CTACGAAAGGCTTGATCCCTTCAATAGGGTACGTAGGCAGCCTTCGCAAGGTGCAGCACTAATCCTTAACGCTTTCTTCTCCCTGGAGAGTGGAAAGATCACTTTCAAAGGACGTTTCCAACCATTAATTCTGCCTAACTCACCTAAAACTGGCTAACCAATCGAAAGAACCTCACGCTAAATTCTCAAGGTTCTAGCGAGCGGGGGGGCTAACTGTTGGAGTCAAAATCGGTCACGACGGAATCAATGGCTAAAAGTTTCCGTAAAAATAAAAATACATTTTATAAAACTGGAGAAGCCGTTTTATAAAATTCTAAGAAATTTCCGAAAAAAGGAAATCTTCAGAAAACTTGGAAATCGTCAACTCGGAAGAACGAACAAATCGTCATCCTAGGTTACTTGCCCAAGTTAAGCGCAAAACCGAGAAAAAATCGCATCCGCCAAAAAACCACGAGCAGGTTTGACCGAACCAAGTTCAAAGTACGACGAGCCGAACCAACCGGTTCAGCTCGCCGTACGGCGAGCTGGTCACTTCCCAAACCAGCTCGCCGTACGGCGAGCTAGTCACTCCCCGAACAGCTCGCCGTACGTCGAGCTGACCATCTCGAGCCTCGATCTCCCACATCCTCGACTCAAGGCATACGTCCTACGGCTCGATCGTGTTCTGAACCACGGTTGAAACGTCTCTCTTTTCGTCTCGATCCGTCTTATCGTTCAAGTTTTACGATAAAACCGTAAAGTCTTGTTTTCTCAAAAGAACTCAAGGAAATCGTATAAAACGGCAACAGTTAAACAAAAAACCGAACATTTCCTAACTATACGATTTACTCGAGATTTCTAGTCAAAAATCGTAAAAAACGCGTTTTTAATAAAACCTCGAGTAAATCGTAGAAAACGACAACGATTAACCGAAACATCGAACATCGCCAAACTTTCCGATCAACTCGAGAAACTTATTTAAAAACAGCATCGCATCAGGAAACGACCTCGTATAAAGTCGTAAAACAGTTTTATCGCAAAACGGCTCAAAAAGTCCTAAAACGCGATAAAAGGCTTATCTCGCGACTTTCACGAAGTCAAGCACAAAGATACGACGACGTTTTGACGATTTACTCGCAGAAAGAATATAAATGTCAAATTTGAAGATAAATGTCAAGTTAGAAGATAAATAGAAAATTTCCGCGGGAAAAAGGAAAGATAAAGATAAATGGAAGATTCTCGATAAACTCGAATCTGGGCGAAATGGAAGGACTAAACCGCCTAGGAAGGGAGTATATAAGCAAGAAGCAGAGGACAGAAGAAGGGGACGAAATCCAGAGCTCTCATCTGAGACTTTTACAACTTTTCTAGACTTAGAGTTTTCCGCACTTAGAAACTTAGGCTTTTTCTCGACAAGTTCGGTTTCTATGACTGGCGCCCAATTGCTAGACAAACTCGCCCAGGCAGTTCGATCTCTGGTCCAGCTCTATCAACTGAACTACGTTCCACTTGATCCTCGAAAGGGGTACGTAGGCAGCCTTTCATAAGGTTCAGTCCGAAATTAATCAAATCCCTTTTCTCATCTTTTTCCGTCTTTTGTTATCGAGCTGCGACTCGATTAGGTTTTAAGGTTTTTATGTTGATAACTCGCTGACGGCCATGCGGCCAAAGCCTTTGTAAACCCTTGTAATGATCGCAACGCTCTTACGCGGAATCAAATAAGATCTACTTTTTCTTCGAATTCGTTTTATTACGTTTTTTCGTATTTTCCGCATTTATTTGGTTACTTGTCGTTGGCTTTCGCAGAGATCCGGTTCCTCTGGAAAATTAGGGTTTTCCTAAGTTTCCTTATTTAAGGAAAATCGACAAGTGTGAATTTCGGTTCCCACAAGCTTCTCAGTACTTTCTTTAGAGGAATCGCTTTGAAGTATTAGATGGCTCTGGATACAGCAAGCGATGGAATCTTTAACACTAGGAATCTGGAGGAAGCTGTGAGGCTTATCGAGAATTTAGTAAACAGCAGCATCATCAAGAACATCGATTCTGAAAGAAGGATATATGTAGCATTCCTTGGGAAGGAACAGTTAGATGAGGTAAAAGCTCAGCTGGAAAATGTCAACCAGCTACTCATGAGTTAGGTTTGCTCAGCTGAAGGTGTAGATGATATAGATTCAGAGTTAGCATATGTGAACTACATTGGAGGAACTGGATTTGAGAAGTATGGAAACCGGTTTGGAAGCAGAAACTGCAGTGGTAATGGTAAGAGAAGTAACTTCAACCAGATAGAAGCTATGCTTGATCAGGTTCTTGAAGGACAGAAAAAGCGGACAATAGATTTCAATGGGAAGATTGATACCATCTATAATGAGCTGGACACCAAAATTGGAGCTTTGAGTACTCAGGTTAGGAAGCTTGAGACTCAGGTGATTCAGACTGAAGAAGCTGTCAGGAGGCAAGAAGGGGATGAACATATGAGACACTACATCAATGCCATACTACATGATGATTTCTGGCAAGAAATTTGCCATTTAAATATAGAAGAAGACGATCTCAAGGATGAAGTTTACCACGATCTCGAGGACGAAGTTTACCACGATCTCGAGGTTACATTTTTGCATCGTTCGACGCCATATAGTCCGTATCGGTTGACCGAGTTCGATGGATATCGATCGACAGATTACTATTCCGATCGATTGACGCCTACCGAATCGTCTGAAACATGCAATGCCATCCAGATCATGACCCACACGGAGTTCGCAAAAAGATGCCCACATCCACCTAACCCTTCGTACTCCACCATCAATCGACATCATGAGCCAGATATCGATTGACAGAAGGAACATGTCAACGATCGACAGGACCCTAGTTTAATTGATCGATCCGACACTAGCACATGTCGAGTGCAGCTACCCCCGATTGACGTATCACGCATCAACTTATGCAAACAGCCATCAACCAACCCACCCGACCCTACATCAGAGCCTATGGACATTGATAGAACCACTATTGAGAAGACTCTGAACAGAAGGAAGGAAAAAGTTCCTAAACATCTCAAGAGGGAACCAAGTGATAAGGAGATAGATGGTTTGACTAAGAGAGTTCTCAGAATCCCAATGGAAAAATCTTTTGATGAGGTTTATTATACCCACAGACTGTGGATGTTCTTCAGAGAAACTAGGGAAACTGAGGACATTAGGAAAATGTTTCACCATGTTAGGGAAAGGATGAAACAAAGGATCACACTGAAGAAGAAGAGTGATCCTGGGAAGTTTGCAATACCATGTTCAATTAAGGGTATTGAGTTCCCACATGCTTTATGTGACATAGGATTATCAGTCAGCATCCTACCAAATGTCATGGAAGACCGTTTGGGTCTGAAGGTAGAACCTTCGAAGGAATCATTCACGTTTGTGGATTGTTCGAAAGGAACTCAGGAGGTATAATCAGGGACCTGGAGGTGCAGATTGGTAATACATTAGTCCCTGTGGATTTTCATGACCCGAATATCAAGTTAAACTGGAATTCTTCACTCCTCCTGGGAAGAGCTTTTATGGCCACCGTTGGAGCAATTTGTGACATGTACACTAACAGGTTTTGTCGTACTTTGATTGATCCATATTTTTTTATGACCCAATTCGTGTTTTTAAGAAACAGGTAAATTCATTGGAGACTAGAGAAGCTGGATTCATCGCAGCCTGCGATTGTGGAGGAGAGTATGAAACCGACTATTCCGGATCGATCAGCACTCTTTCAACCACATCGATCGATTCACTCAACCAGCCGGAGACCGATGCAACTTTGGAAGAACTGATCGACAGACAATCCACAAATGGAATCACACCCTATTTTGCCTTACAGATCACCAACAACAAGCAAGATGACTACTCCATAGGCAGTTGGGCGGACAGTGGTTTCCATGAGAACTTCGCAATGGATACAACATTCATATCAGATTCATAGGATCACAAAGAGGAACATAATGAGGAATATGATGAGGAGTATGCCAGAGAAATCCATGCCATTCTCACTGAAGAAATACTCCTACAACCCAACAAAAAGACGAGACCTACGACATCAATCGACACAATTAAATCGGAATCGATTGACACTCAGCCATATCAGGAAAATCGGCATCAACAATCGATCAACCCACTCAAGTCAGCATCAATCAATTACAACATCACCGACTTTGGGAAATTTGTCAACTTTCCAATTTTTGCTAGGCAGCCGATGAGTATAAAAGAAGTCTTGCAGCCATGAAGCCGTCTCAAGCAATAGAAGCAGACAAGATGCAAGCACCTAGTACCTTTGGGAGACACAACAATAAAGGCTCAAACTACAGGGATCACCATGGCAAAGCAACAAGTGCAACATTCAACCAGCCAAAGATCACCACCTCTCGTCTACCATCGATCAACACATCCACCAACAAATCGATCGATTCTTACCCTCCAGCTTTTACTTTCACTAAACAATATTCTGTTGATAAGTTTCTAATACCAGATGAATTTGGTGTTTTTAGGGACCCAACGGGTAATGCACGAGCACTGAATGGAAGGATTCTACAAGTGTCGAAAGAAGACAAAGAAAATATCCTTCAGATGGCCAATGGACCAGAGAATTTCTTTCAGCAACAACTTGGCGTAGTGAAGCAGCAATCGACCGACACAGCCGCACCACCACCGATCACCCGAAGTACCTCTCCATCGATCAACGGGAAGAGACACGCATCGATCGATCTCAACAGTAATCACGAACCACTTTGGGAACTAGAGCTTTACACCAAAGATGAGATCAACGAGATGATTGGTTACATGAGTGATTGGCAAGAGGAAGAAATGGATAAGCTCACTAGAAGAAGACAATGATTCTGATTAATATGTATACAAATACCTTTTCACTGTTGAAATTCGATTGAAGTAGTTTCATCATCAACAAACCGGACTAAACCATAAGTATTCCGTCATCCATGAAGGATAAAATAAAATAGTTCATGATATCACTTTGGTCATTCTGTAAGATTACAAAAGCTCTTGATCCCCAAGTTTAACCTCTACAACTCTAGCTAGTTCTATGAATATAGCTACCAAATGGGGACGTACATAGCTGATGGCCTGTGCAGTAGAACTACCAGTGGGGACAGTGGCTGCATTGGAGCTAGGCTGTACTGAAGTGGCTGAAGCAGTGCTCAAGGTCGGATCTTTCACATCAGGTGGGACTAGAAACTGAGACACTGGATTGTGAAAGATGAGTTTTTGCAGCTGCGTCTGGAGCGGGTTTCTGGAGCTGATTCGAGTTAGCAAAGTCATTTGCAGCACTGTGAAGCTGTTGAAGCCTGTAATCTGTCTCTGGCCGCCTGCAAATCTTCCTCAAGGGACGATTTCCTGCTGGAATAAAAATCCAAAGTAGGTGAGTGAGGAGGTTGGAGGGCAAGAGAGAGAGATGAAAGTCAAACCTCGGACTGGTCGTGGGTGTACCGCACCAAGAACCTACAATGACAATCTCTGACATCGTGTCTCCTTCTTTGTGCATCAAGAACAGTGGCGTCAAAGTAAAGAGCTTGATTTCCCTTCCTAAAGATGTTATAACAAAAGTCTGTTGCAGAGATAAACTCACATGACACCTTGTCACTGAATACTTAGAAAACGTGGCTCTAAACCTGGAAGAAGCACGTGATCTCCAGCAAGAACTGAAACACATTCTGATGCTTCACATGGGAGTGACCTTTGCCTAACGTGCTTCTTGACGTTTATCCATTCATCTTCTTCAACTTCAAAACCTACAAATCGAACCTGCACCTCCTGAAATACCCAACAGAAAGTATATGTTATAAGCAAAAAAAGAAGATGAGGAACAAATTAGTCAACTGTAAACCGGTTAGGGATTACCGAATCACCAATCTCCAAGTTTCTATGAGCTAGGAAAGCTTGTACATCATACCTGTACGTAGATAAAGGAGAAAAATATCAGGAATAGAAAACACTGGAATGTAATGAGATTGAAGAAAAGTATCATAAGTGAGCCAAAAAAACTGAAGATGCCAATGCAAAGGGGAATCACCATGCACCATCCATGCCAGATTTGGCTTCAAATTCCAAGTAAGAATTGTCTGAACCACTACTCTTGACACCAGGAACTAAGAGGATAATCAGTAAAATATAAAGACAGCCGCATCTAGTGAAACCTATTGAAATGAATACATATAAGGCACCTGATATACCAGAATGGGAAGGCGTCATGACGGATCCAGTCATATGAGTGGACTTAGCACCGGCTGATGGTGGAAGCACATTTCTCATATGGTTTGTTGGATCCAGACCACACGGCATGGAAGTTACTTTTAGATTCCCAGGAGCTTTGTTCCCCCTTTCTCTTAGAGCATAACGCCTGTTCTGAAACCAGTTCCATATCTGTGATTAATAAAAAAACAACACCCATTTTAAATCTCAAGTCCAAAACGGATCCTTAAACTTATGAAACAGTGAAAATAAAAGAAGCACTACTTGTTTGAACTGCACAACAGTTTTCCCCTTCCGCTCCAGCGTCACTAAGAAAGATGAAAAACACACACACATGTCAAAACCAAGGAGTAAGGAGGGTACACGGAAGGAGTAAAATACTAAATAGTGTATACCTAAACTTATCAGCAAGAGCTTCAAGAGTATGTCGACCTGGAATTGCTGTATCATGCTGTAGCAAAACTGTTTCCATCTCCGTTACCTTATAAACCATTTAACATGTTCAGCTAAAACAAAGTAAGATAAAAAAAAATTTTGGTACTGGTTTCTCAATTCCTTGTATATCCGTTATTCTCAACTTTGTCAATTCCTGTACATATGTGTTAAAATAATCAAAACCAACAATGAACAAACATACTCCACAGAAAGATCTCTAATAAAGGTACAATTAACAAATAAACGAAGTTGTAAATTTATACATGTCGATGCCATGTGGTTCTCCTATAATTCTTCCTCCGTTTCTTTTTGAAAATTAGCACTTTTTCATCCAATGCCTGTCAGTCACACAAAATGTATTCAAAGTTTAGACACAAAAATAAACAGGAAGGAAATATTAGTATACACATGAGTAAATTTTATTCTACATCAAGAAATTCAGATGATGTATCAACAATAGATAAACACTAAAGACTAATCTAACAACTCTACGTTCATACATTAAATTTAAACTCAGCTGATTTAGTTCTCCTCCATCAAGATTCAATCATAGTTTTAACTATTTACAATCTAACCTGCAAAATATTGACAATGGTTTGAACCATAGCCCTTACACTGCAATAAAATCAAAGCCTCCACTGTCCGTCTTCAGTCTTCACCCTTCGGTTCTTCAACCTTCAAACAAATCAAAGCCATTCAGAAGAGAAATTATGAGAAAGTTAAATATTTTTAGATCTAAAAAAAGGGATTTGTTACATGAGCAGAGATCTCGCGAGAGTGGAGATACATGGAGCAGAGATAGGTGAAAAAACAAAAAAACAGACGTGGAGAGTAAGAGAGAATTGGAAAAGTGTAGAGATGCAGAGAAAGATAGGCAGAGAGGAGCAGAGCCGTCACGAAGCAGGAGTGAAGGCATCACGGTGCTTAGGAGGCAGAGGATAAGAGGAGGCGTTACAGTTCTTTGTGATTTCGTGGACTATCGAGGGAGGGGAAAAGAGACTTTACCGTCAGATGGGCTTAACGGGATGCTCGAAATTGAACGCTTCCGGTCCAGTGAGATTTGAAGCCCAAATATCCAAAGAATCACAATGACATGGTGAAACTCTGTGCTACTATTGGACAATTATTTTTGCAACGTGGCATAGCTCACAGAGCTTCTTATTGCCTTTTTAATAGTGTTAGATAATACACTCTGATTTGACTCCATGTCGCCACAAATGATCGATCATCTTTGCTTATATTCCAATCTACATATACAAGACCATGTTATTATAGAAGAGTAATACAATAACACTGATTTACGATTAGAAAAAAAAACATGGTCTTTTCTGCCTATTCTCAGATCAATACCTGTGCACAGAAAGAAATTAAAATGGTTCATATTTGGTTCAGCTTGACCCATACAAAATTACCACCAATTTATAGTTCTTAATATGAAAATAAGTCGCATATAAGCTTCGGTCATATATATTTATAATTCAAAACATAATTGACATTACATATGTACTTTTTTATATCTATTTAAGCCATGTATTATAAAGTGAAACTGCAGTTTATATCGATATTGTAATACCAATTATTTTAATTTCTATTAATTATCAAAATCTAATTAAATAGAATAGAATACTCTACCTCATTAACAATATATAAATCTAATATTAACTAACCTACCGTGCAAATAGGATATCCTCTAACAACTTAATTTCTTTTTAGGGTCTGACTGGTTGAAACGCGGCGGTTGCGATTGCGGTTGCGGGAGTTTGCGGATGTGGGTGGTTGCGGTTTCTAGCGTTATTAGGCGATTTGTACGACTGGTATAGCGATTAAAAACTGGTGCGTTTGTGGGACATTTATGACTGGTTGATTATGAGATACTACAGCGGTTCAATAATAAATTTCCAATATTAACATATTATAACATTATAAAAAAATCAAAACATACTGTTATGATAAAAAATAATAACTATTAATATATTATAAGTAATAACAATATTATTTTTTATTTAGATGAAAATATAATTTCTATAATTAATAAAATATTCTAATATAATTAATTATATATTTATGTATTTATATATTTATCTATTTATCTATTTATATATGTATATTTATATATTTATTTATTTATATATTTACATATTTATATATTTAGATATTTATATATTTATATATTTATATATTTATATATT